AGACAGGGCGGCATTAGAAAGATTCGAGCCGATGGAAACAGTGGATAAATATTGTCTGTTGTGTTGTAGAAAGCAAATCGTGGTAGTGAATTGGTAAAGATATCGCTGTGCACGTGTCTTGTGATCTGTTTGATGCGGTATTTTGTTTTATAATTTTAGCGTGTGTAATACAGCATACAAGATTGAGCACTCGAGTCAAGATTCGCGGTATATTTAATTCCACAAATAGAATAATTTTTGGAACGATGAATTAAAAACTGGATGATATTTTTCACGGTACTTTATTTTTTGAGGAAATCTGTTTCGAAACTCCATTAAGTGGGAATAGTCGGGATTAAAAATCGACGATTTTTCGATCCGCTTGGCAGTAAGCCTCGTATAAAAATAATTCCTTCTATCATTATTCTTCATTTATGTCATCTCTCTTGTCTATTCGATAATGGATCTTATTCGTGACCAATCTTCCTAATTCTCACACTCTGAATCAAGTTTATTTCATTGCAATAAATTTAAACCAAATAAAACGTATATCGTGAAATACCCTGAAATTAATTAAACAAAAAATGTAGATATTTATTTCATTCGTTCCCTCTTCTTTACTCTTTACTCTCTCATTACAGATTTAAGTTAAACAGCATACGTATAACAAAATATGGATAGAAATTTGTTGAACAGAAGAATATCCTTCTAATTTCAAAAATAAGTTCCCTCTGAAAAACTTAAACAAAATTCATAATATATAATACCGATGATACCTATATAAGGGGTTAAGATACAATTGTACGTCATCCAGTGTTTAATAACAAATTTGAATCTCCATGTTATTAAGATTAATTCATACACACCGCCAATGGTAACGGAAGTCTCAGCTACGTTGGTAGACAAAATGAGCTTCCTCATTCCAGGAGCCGATGGTTTAAAGGCTTCCAATTGCTGATGCGTTGGCAAAGCCGAATACAGTGGAAACACCTTCAACGGTGGATAACCCTGTCCATCCAGCTGTTTAGCTACTTGTCTGGCGCTCACAACCGCAGCCTCTATTTCTTCCTGACCCGTTAAGAAGACCAGAATATCTTCGCTGGTGAAAAGACAGAAAAATTCAAGAAATCGTCCGTTTCCTTCTGACCCAGTTTCCCGCGAGCTTCGTATTCGAACCTGCTCACCTCTAATCTAATAAAAGTAACGGTATGCAAATACGCGGGGATCGCGCGATTGGCCTACTAAGCTGGAAAAATTACACCGACCATATCTTTCTTATGACAACGTGGAACGTGTTTAATTGGAAAATTGAAGGAAATTCATATAGGGTACCATATGATTTACCTTTGATATACTGGCATCGAATTCCACGGGGTGATTTATACTCGAAACTGACACAAAATGATCATATGGAAATAACGATGGTATGAAAATGACGCGTTTTATTCGAACACGATGCTCGTAATAACTATCATTGTTCCTGCAAACGGTCTTTTGTATTTCCAGAGCGAGCTATTCGGGAAAAGAGCTAGCAATTTGATATAGATTAGTAGGATAAGGCGGATAATTAGTCAAAAATTTTTGCGCCCCGAAAATCCTCTGCAAGTTGTACGAGCTCGATTGAATTCTGTAGAACAGACATTTTCAACGAGATTATCTAGGTAGAAATGGAGATATTACGCGTACATAGAATACTCTGATTATTTGTTATACATAAGGCACATTTATATTTTCGAATCATCGTTGCACCTCTTTCGCAGTTGTATTACTAGATACGTGATATTCCATGTGATATCAGTGATATAGTGAAAACATATATTAATAAAGAAATGAAATACCGATTACTTAATCTGTAATCTAAACTGAAACAGTAGAAGAAATAAAATTGAATAATTAATTTAATATAATTCACCTGATACAACAAATAGCCCTGGAATGTTGCACACAGATAAAAGTACGAAGAAATATGAATCGATTGAATAAAATAGAAGAGGAGAGAATCACTTACTTAGCAAGGTTGTCGCGATGAATCTGGAAGGCTGTAACAAGGGCGGAGAACGCATAATCCTCCTGCGATTTGACGGCGTGATAAATCTTCACAGGATGCTGACGACCTTCTAAGTACACGGCTGGTGCTTGGAAATACTTGCTGAACTTATCGACGTCCATCGTGGCTGACATCACAAGCAGCTTCAACGGCGGCAGGTTCTTAAGCTTTCTTAAATTCTGAGCCCTTCTTGCAACACCTAGCAGTACATCAGTTTGTACTGAACGTTCATGAGCCTCGTCGAGGATCACCACTGAATAATCTGATAAAATTTCATCGGTCATCGCCTCGCGAACCATCATTCCGTCAGTGAGATATTTGATTCTCGTTTGTGACGAAGTCACATCCTCGAAACGCACACAGTAACCGACTAATTTGCCCGTTTCCACTCCTTGCTCTTGTGCAACCCTACGAGCCACGCTCACTGCGGCCACTCTTCGGGGCTGAGTGATACCGATGCAACCGGAAGCGCCCGCGATACCGGATGAGAGGAGCAATTGGGGAATTTGCGTGGTCTTGCCACTACCCGTTTCGCCAATAATGATCAGAGTGCTGTTTCTACGTATTTCTTCGAGTAGCCTGAAATTGGACGTCGAAGAAAAATTGTTATTTGCTTGAAACATGTATAGGAAAGTTCAGGTTGGGTTAGGTAGTGTAGATATAATATAACGATTGTATAATAATTAAATAATAATAGTAATAAAAGTAACAATATAGTCTAAATATTATATCATATTATATAAGTGGTGTGTAATATAATGTAGGACCGACTTTTCTCATCGCCTTTTGTTTGACCGCGACAGAGCAGACTGTATGCAACGATAATCGCGACATGCCGAAAAAGCAAGACTTGTGTGGATGCATGTGGGGCATGAGGCAGGACAATGCCTAATAAAGAGTTAGTCGAGCAGTCGATAGTTCTAACCGATATACATGCAGTCCGAAGACGTTCCAGTGTCCGCGTTCTTTTTATTTAAATATATTAGATTTTAGTGGTTACTCGACAACAGGGTTCACTCATCATTCACTACCTGATCCTACAATAATAATACTAATAAAATAGTTACCTTATCATTCATCTTATTGTTACTATTGTATTACAGTACTTATCGACAGCATTATACATTGGTATAAAAAATACGATTATTTTCGAATTAAATTTCAAACAGTATAAATTAGAAGAAATAAAACAAATTTAATTCACTTATCGATGACGTAATAAATGCAACTGAATTTCCAGTACTAATTCAACACACCGTTTGTATTCCATAACATCATTGTCAGAAAAAAATATTTACGTACAAGAAATTGAACATTCAATAAAGTTATTTCAAAATAATATCAATAAATTCTACTATTTGCTTTCAATTACTTTAAATTTATGAATATATGAATTGATAATGTAGGAGATATATGATTTGCGTAGTAACCAGGAACGTATGGTGAACAATCTGTAGCATGGAACTAGCGCGAGTTAGAACTACGTATATATATTGTAGAACGATATTTTAAACAGTTACAATCTGTCTGCCATGATAAGTGATCGTGTGATATAAATGTGTTCTTTTCAAATCAGAAGTTCAACATTCTCGCAATCATTATACAGGTATTTAAGCATTCATTGTTGATTTATTACTGTGTAAACAAACAGTTGTAGTTATCAAATTTATTATACATGTTAACACGCAGTGCTTGTAAATATCTATGCGTTACATGTTTCAACATTTTAAAGACAATTGACGATAAAAGATATCACTAACGATAGTTGACGATAAAATATTCTATTTGTAAACTTTTGTTTACGAAATTAAAAAATACGATATCATAACCTAGGAATAAACGTCATAAATAAAAACAGGTTGCTTTAACTAAATTCATTCGATCTTAATTATAACGATCCGACATTGTCGCCATTTTGATAACGGTAGAATTCAAAAATCTTCATAAATATTACAATAGTATCGGATACAATTGAAAAATAAGATGTATTTAATATGATTTGAGTAAATTAATATAGTCATATACGAAAAATTCACTGAAATTTTCATAAGAATCTCTAAATGTGTCTACATTTAAAATATTGAAATTAAAATTTAAAATATTGAAACACTCCAACTTGCAATATTTTATTAAAAATATCTTATACTTCATAAAAAATCATTTACTCATAATTATACCCATGCTAAAAAGTATATTCTCCACGACATAGACTTATTATAGATAACATATTATATAATTGTTTTATACTTAATATTGCATGTATGATATGTATCAATATGAGACAATTTTTTTAAATCTCTTTCAATACGCGCGTTTTATATCCAGTACAATGCTGCCATCTATACAACGGCAAGCAAGTTACCAACTTTACGTAGTCGCAGATTCTCCATTTTGTTTCACGATACTTCGCATTGCACACGTAGAAGATATTATTCGCAGTAAAGAATACTAGTAAAATTCAGCCCAAAAACGAAAGAAAATAATGCAGAACTTACCGTTTTCGAAGCCTATAGACCGGTAAAGATTTCCTCTGTTGTTGTAAACTAATGCTTCCTTTATCCACGTTTTCTGTCTGGACGTTTTGTTGACTATCCTCGTGTTTTTGGATTTTGCTGGGACTTTCATTAAATACAACCGTAGTTGGACGTTTCGGTGCTAGTTTTGAAAAACTTGAAGTACCCATAACAATGTACTTCGAATCTGCATTGTCGTGGACCCCCATATTGCCGAAAAATAGAGTGAAAACGGCAAATTCACGAATGGTAAATGTGTCCACGAGTACGCACGTGTTGCACACTACAGCTGTATACAAATAAGCGTCTTGACAGGCGCCGTACCCAATGGCGTAGCTTCGTTCATTTAGATCATATTTTGAACGTTTCTTTTAATATAAACAAATTATTCGTATAATCATTAGGTTGGGTTTTTTTAACAATTATATTTTTGAAAAAGACATTCATTAAATTAGGATATTTTTAATTACAAAATAAAAATAATTATTGGGCAAATAAAAATTGCACAACGAATGATAATTTCCGGTTTTTATTATTATAAAGTAAAACGTAATTCTACTTTTCAACTGTAGAAGTACTATTTTACATACATTAAATTATCTGTCTATGAAATACTAAAAATAAATATTAAAATATTAAAAATTTGTTTAATATTTCTTTTTTAATATATGGTATAACATAAAACAATTCATCGGGTTGTATCTGTTAATTTATTTTTACAGTAACAAAACATTCAGTTCAACAAAAAATCATGCAATATAGCATATACTAAACTAACTAAATTAATAAGTATAAAAGAAAGTAATGCGAGGTGAATTATAATTTTTGTTTTGATTTAACTATACAAGATAGAACGTGCATACAAATAAAATACACTTACATTCTACAGTTTGTTACAGATATTAACATAAACTAATTTAAAACTTTTATACACATTTACTCTTAAACAAGAGGTAGAAAATAAATCTTGATCTATTTATGTTATAACCACATTACTCCATTTTGTTTTGTAAAATCGCATTATTATTAAAATTTCTAGTTACAATGGATACCAGAACAAATGATATATATATATATATATTTCTTTGCAATTTGTCAACTATTGACATATTAGTTCTTTCAATAAAAGATTCATTCATCGACTTTTAAAAATGAACCATAATTTGTTCCAACATACACATTAAGAAATTATCACAGATTAACGGTGTATAAGAGGAAGACCCGATGAGCAAACTCTTTTACCGAGATTCTACACGGACATTTATAAATTTATATTTCAAATTTTTCTAACCAAAATTCATCATCGTAATGGTCGATAAATCGGTGTTTTCTTAGGTGGTACCTAAAAGAAGATGAAATATTCTATGAATTACATTTTATTAGTTAATTTAATCGTTAATTGATATATTCAAAAAGTAGAAAGATATTACCATTCCTCCAATGCGATAAAGGTAACGATTCCTAATGCTAATGTCAGATTGTGGTTGTAAAAGATCATCAGTCGATAAATCCGAAGTAGATTCTGGGGCTAATAATTTCCTTCTTTCAAGACTTTCCGGTGAACGCTGCATTTCTTCATATTTTTCTCTCTGACCTGGCGTCATATTCAGATAACCACCACTAGTTGATAAATCTGACATCCAGATTGCAACAGCGGTTATCAACGAAACTGTTGAAAATACATGAATTATTCGTTATTGTACAAACGTTTACATCATTAAAACTACAGTATACAGAAAGACATACTCCATAGCCAACCCAAGAAAAACATCTCGAGTATGAGATATCCAAGCTGATCAACAATCATACCAGCTAAAATTGAAACTATAGCCATACCCAGATTTTGTACAGACTGTGCACTGCAAATAAAAGATTTCATAACAATAGAAATTAAAACATCTGTAAGATGTAAAAAAGTGCATTTTACTTACAGTCCATAAGCAGTACCAAGCTGATATTCTGGGATAACAAGCGCAATCAATGGCCATAAACTACTAGCAAGCATAGAATATGCTATTCCCATAAGAATCATGCTTATGTAAGGATTCACAAATGTGAATGCGAGTAGCCCATGAGCAGCTATAGTTAGAAGAATACTGATAAATAACCAAGAGATGTTCTTCCCTGTTCTATCAACGAGATAGCCAAAAAGGGGGGACGCAATAGCTGATATGGAATATACGAGGGAGTTGACTGAATTCGCGTCTGATGGTTCAAACGCATATTTCCGTTCAAAGAATACTCTAAAGAGAAAAATGATATAATATGATACATAATTACATAAAAACACTTGCAAAGATTTCTCATTATTCATACTTACTTTCCTAAGGCGATGAACGGGAATATTGCAACGTAATAAGCAATGCAAATGATAGTAATCAGCCAAAAGATTAATTTAAAATTCTTAACATCTGTTAGTCTAACGATCTCGGTTTCTTGTCCCTCACCCTTTCTCAATACTCTTTCTGCATGTTTATCCATAATACCCAATATAATTGCAAAGATCATAGAACCCACACATGTAAGAGTAGCAATAAAGAGAACTATGCCGATACATTCTGGTCCTTTGTAATACTGAGAAACATAATTATAAAGTGGTTCCATTACTAAAAAGTTCACAGTTGATCCAAGCCTAGTAATACTCAGTTGGAGACCAAATGCAAAGTTGAGCTCTTTTCCTTTGAACCACAAGACAGCATAATTATTCTGAGCAACGGCCAATGATTCTGCACCGATACTGTAAAAGGCATGAGAATTAATGCAAATATCACAACATATTATCAAAAATAACTTATAAACAACACATACCCCAAAACAAAGCGGCCAAGCATCATCATCCAGAAAGTATCTATTAAAGCCCCTGTTGCAAATATAATCTGGCCGATAAGTGTAATTCCCATATATATAGATGTACCTAAACGTATACCAAATACGCTGTCCAATAAAAATCCACTAATAAAACAAAAAATTACTGTTGGCCAAGAGTAAATGGAATACAATAAAATAAATTTGGTAGTCGACATATGTAGATCAGTTTTAAAATTATCTTGCAAAGCAGCAGGATTGTCAAAACAGAAGTATGGACCTGCAAATAAAAACATTTCATTCCATCAATTGATGCACTGAATGTAACTGTAATCGCGTGATAAGCGAGTCATCTTAAAGGTCTATGACCTGATCATTTAAGAAGATACTCGAAAAACTTGCTTCATGATATGTACGCTTTGAACCTGCACATGCGTGTTTTGCGTTTCCTCGCATGATAAATCCCAACGTTTTATTAACCCCGTCGATATCGGAAATATTAATTGGGGAAAAGGAATAAAATTTCGCGGACAAAACAATGTCGATGATACGGCTTATCTCGGCCCATGTGTAGGAATGTATGAACTATCTTTGGAAACCTTTACGTATTACAAGAATATATATACGTGTATATGCGTGTTTATTACATTTCCTATTGGTTAAAACGATAGCGGAAGAAAACCAAGCCACGATTAGGATTTAGATATGATAAACCCATAAAATTTTCACGATATAGCTACTAAAATATCGGTACTTTGTACATCGAAGACGTGCGTTTATCAGAAATATATTTGTGGAATACGATTATTCTCCACTTCTCGGAAAGATTGCTTCCTTTGTTTCGGACAAATAATATCGAATGCAAAATTTTAACCGAAGGAATGTTTACCAATTTTTCGCATCTGTTGATTGCACTGTTATGCAGCGAATATTCTAAAATGAAATACAATTTTGATACAATTGCATATCAACAAAGAAATCGCAATAATCTGCTCATCGTAACAGTATAAATATAACTTTCATTCAAAAATTTTATGAATTGTAGTGACGAAAGAAATGGGTTGACATTTTTCATTATTGTTTATATCATCGTAATTTTATTACACATGCAGCAAATATTAAATGTTAGAGTACAAAGTTCGATATTTACATAAAAATTATCAATCGAATATGCAGTAGCATTTAGTAAACAACGCAATTACGCTTTACATTTTGAATTATTTTATAAAAAAAATTGAATTGGAAAAAAATGTTAAAAAATACAATAAATGATATTAGCGGCTTTAGATAATTGAAAGTAAAACGCTTTTAACGAGATCGTAATGCACGGAAAGAAGGGCAGTCGAATATAAACAATGGCTACTCGGTCAGGTTGTAAAGATAACATAGCAATGACAATCGTACCAAAACCTAAAAAGCACATCAGTGCCAGACCAGTAAGTTTGAACAGACGACTTTTTGGACTGCAACATCCTTGGAAGGGGAATTCATCGTCGGATCTCTCCAGAGTGGTCTCTGGGCTTTCTAGTATGCCTCCTTCCATTGTTACGTCCAGCTGTGGCAATATTTCAATGTTTACAAGCTTTTAGCACAGCCACAGGTGCCCCGAATCGTAAACGTTCACTCAAGTTCGCTGCACCGATCATTACACGTTAATCAACCACGCACGAGCTAATCTCTTTTCAAAATCACACAGCTGGAACACGATGAGAGAAAAAAAAATTAAAAGCGGAAATCAGCTCGTGAGCGCTGCCGATTAACTAACTCGAAGAAACCAAATGCACTGCCAGTCTTGTCATTACTAATCTGTCAATCACATGCGTCATGTGAGAAAACTAACGTAAGCCGCGGAACTGCACAATACCAAAAGATTAACGAAAAAATCTCTATTCCCTGGGATAGACGATCGGTGAGTTGGAATTGCTGCCAACAACTTGACACATCTCTATGATGTTCCGGCTGATTTTCCGGTCTGTGGCGCCCCCATTGAAAGCACTAGTAGACTGGTCGGTAAGAAGGACGCTATGAAGGAAACGATCACGATTGATTTTCAAAAATTTATGTGAGAAACATAACTTATCGAATGTACATATTGATTACTTAATACTAAGCGTATATTATATGAAAATTATCTTAAATTTAGAGATCGAGATTGGAAGAGTCACGTTTGGAAGTCACTCTCGGTTCATTAAGAGGCAACTTCTTCCGTCGCACCCTCGAACTCGAGCTTCACTTGACATTCTTCCGGTAGTCCTTCGACATCTACCTCCGATTCCGGTGCGTTTAACATATTCAGCGTTACCTCCGCCGATTTGCCCATCAATCCTTGGTTTCCTTGTTGCTTCACTTGGACCGACTGTTGCGACTGTTGGGATAGTATTTGTTGCCTGATCGGCACGCCAGCTTCCTCAAAAGCTTTCTTTTTCAGCGTTGTTCGAATCTGAGAGCTAGAAAGTCGAATCGACCGGTTAATTTTAGGTCGTGACTGACGTAGAGAAATTGAGGAACAGCCGTGGGCTCGATGCAGCCTTGTTAACTTACACCGTTCGTCCCTTGATGTGTTCACTTATTTTGTTCAAGTCTTCACTGAAGGTCTTTACCGAGTGACGGAGCATCTCAATTTCCTCGTCAGTCCATTTACTACAGATCAAGCGACACAAAGGATTATGTAAAATATACAGCCAGCTATCAGTTTTACAGTGAAGCAATAACGATACGATAAAGTAATATTCAATTTTCAATCTCCAATAACATGTCGAGGCAATTTCGTAACCTTTTTTTATCTGCATGCATGCAAAACGATTTACGTTGGTCTCGTGGGTAAAACAAAAGTGTAAACAACGTTTATCGTATTTTTGCGTAACGCACGCAAGTTAAAAAAAAAAAAAATGTATCACACACTTGTTAATCATAACCAGCGATAATGTCATGGCAGAGAGTATTTTGAAAATTAAGCGATTTATATCGAAAACTCGAGTAAAGCTATAGTAGTAAAGCATTATGTTTCGTATTAGCCGGTTCGCTACACCACGTGACATTCTCCCGCGTTTCTGCAACGTACATACTGTCATATAAATTCAAGCGAAAGCGTTAGGCGCGTTGTTGGTATTTATAAGAAAAAGCATTTGCGTAGATATTTCTGTTTATTTACCCTGCAGGTGAGTCCGTCGTAGGATGCAATTGCATGGTTAGTTCTCCAAGTTTATTAAACGCTGCTCCGGCTGCGGTGAAAATTTCACCAACCTAAAACAGGCGTTCTTGTAAATGTTTATTCACTTTTGGAATATTTAATTAACACTTTTTCACACTTCACAGGTATTCGTGGATCGATTATACGAGAATGATTTATACCGATTTGTCGAACAATTTCGTCAAGAAAAAAGGTAAAAAAATTTGGTTACAGACGATCATAACCTAACCTTATGCCCGCTAACAGACTCCATTGCTAGAGTACTCGAGGGTAAAAGCACGTGACTCACGTAGAAAAAGAAAGAGAAGCGGTGGGGGAGAACGACCGTTAAGTGTTATATGGCGGGAAACTGCCTAAAATCGGCGACAACGACAGCCTTTTCGCTTACCTTGCTCGCAGAGTTCATGTCAGTTTGTTGTGCTCGTACTTCGCCATCAGCAGAACAAACGTTCGTACGGTATTGCCATCTCGCGTCGTTCTCGGAATCCTTCCCTTTAAACAATTATAACCTCTACTTCTACGTACAGTTTACTCTGTCCCCCTCTTTTATCATTATTACGCCACTTTATCCAGGGATAACGATGCACGTGTTTACTTTTTGAATAACTAGATAACTTCCTATCGAGTTTTAATATATCATATTTAAACTTATACGTAGAATATCCGAATCGATACTCGCTATATACGATTCGCGTATTGGAATATCCCAATATTCGCGCCTTTGTGTCCGAATTGTCATTTTAGAAGCAGCAGCTGACAACACAGGAATAAGAAATTTTTCCATTATTTGGAAATATATCTATCATTCGCAGATTTTAATTTATAAATGTAGAGTACAACGCAGTGTATCAAAATAGTAAGATTTATTCAAAAATATATATATTTAATATTACAAAATAGTAAATAGAAAATGTATAAAGAGAAATTTTTCATATTTCAGGTTTCTCTATTACAAGTTTTATATTTAAAACAGTGAACGAATAACGAATAGGTATTCCATTTAATTTTAGAGTACGTATAGATAAATATTTCTCAGATTTTATATTTTTCTTTTACAAATTTGGCGCTTCAAAGATGAACTTTGTATTTATTTTTACAAAATAGATAGTAGACTATAGTGAGTCACAGCCAAAATCGTGCAACACATCAGAAAATGTTTCCTCTCACACAAAAATTTAAGGATAATTTGGATAAACAAATTTGATGGGTACATAATGCAAATGTATAGGCGTTTTTCGGACTGAAACCTAGCAACTTTATTTTTCTTAATACTTAGGAAAGTTCATTTATTTTTATATTACTACATAATAAATATAGATGTATTTATAATATATACCCATCAAGTCCTTTTTGCTAAATTATCCCTAAACATTTTTACGAAACGAAACATTTTTTGATATGGGATGTACGATTTTGGCTCACTGTGCATAGAAAGAATCTCGCAAATTTTGAATTTTTCTTGTATAAATTTAATATTTAAGAAGTAACTATTATCTGTAACAAAGCAAAGGCAGTATCTGTCGCAACTTTTAGCCGGCGCGAACACGTCGGACAATTAAAAATTATTCCAGCAGCCGCATTAATATTCCGAAGAGCGTTCGCGTGAAAGAAAAATCGTCATTCGCTCATTCGACGTCGATTAACGTACGGAAATGCATCAATCTGTGAAGCTCACGTCCTCGCATAAATTAATAGTCTCCGTTTCCACTCATTGTTCTCGGTAACCGTGACTCTTTGGAAATTGCAAAATTCCGTCAGTATGCGATCGATGTGTCCAGCCGGATCTCCAGTGAGCTTCAACGTCTTCAGCAACGGGAAATCCTCGCCTTTCGAGCGTCTCAGCCTCCTGGACGCGTTTCTGTAACACTTCCAGAGCTGGGGCTCGATCACGATCATGTCAGCGACGGAACAAGCCTTGCGCAGGAATTCCACCAGTCCTTCGTCCCCGTGGTTCAAGTGGATCCACATCGTAACCGAGAAACAGAACACGACGTCGAAGCGTGACTTCTCGAATCGACGAAGTTGCTCGTCCAGCGTCCGGTTACAATCCTCGGCCAAAAAATCCAGACACTCGAAAATAATACGATCCGGTCGTGGGTTGCGTTCCCGTGCCCGTTCGATTAAGATCGGATCGAGGTCCACGCCGAGCAAACGGATCTCCTTGGGCTGATCGGCCGATAAGGCGGTCTCGAGGAAGTCGTGCAACACGAATGTTAAATCCTGAAATCATTAATACCATTTGCAATTTTTACGTGACCCTTCTGGTCAAGGAACTGCATCGAATTCCTGCGCTCGTGTCTCATTTTTTCTAACTTATGGTTATATCTTTAAGTATTCCTACTCTTTGTCTTGTACCGCTTGGTGAAATTATTTTACAGAAGTGTTTGGGTTAGGCGAATTTTTCGTTAGAATTTTGAGAACTTCTGGGTTCACTGCTCCACTGTATTTTCGTTTCTTTGATGTAAATTATGCAGTTGGAAGGATAATTTAATTAGTTTCTTAACTAGTCTTTTATTGCAAAGAGTAGCTAGAAAAATATTTCAGGTTACATTAAATAATATATATGTGATATAAATCAGAGAGGAAATTTTACGTAAATGCAGATATAAATCTAATTTTTAGGACACGAGCATAAATATGATAGACGTGAGAAAAGTAACGATTAAGTGGTTATCAACGCTTCGAAATCTTGGAATAAGTGGACAATGCTCAATTACGTTACATCGTACACAATTAATAATTTCCATTGCGAAAGATCATCGTGACGATATAAATATGACTTGGACACGTACTTTGATCGGACGATTATCAAAATTCGCTATTAAAGTATATCAAATATACGTCAGCATGCGGTTTGAATTGAAGCGTTTAATAGAAACAATCGTCAATATTCTCATTAAACCGCTGAAATTCGATGAAATTGATACAGCTGATGAATTAAATGTTCCAATTGTATCCGGTACATTAACACCAGTGAGCAGAGTTTCGAAATCCACAGACAACCAAAATTATCACTTCCTCTTTCTTATTAACCTTCTACTTAATGAAACTAATTCATCTTTTATCGCTCGTAAAACGTATTGACGCAATTTACTGAAATATTCGAATAATTAGTTGAACAGAATTAACGTGTGAAATTAATTGACTATATTTAATCGATTTAATAAGCACATCATGCACAGTATCATTAGTCGTATCATTAAGGAAATATATAACGATTGGCCTATGATTTTCTGATAATTAAATTGCTAAATAGTTACGCGATAATAACACCCTTCTTAATTATCAGGCTGGATTTGTATAATTATTAGAATTATTAAATCCTTGGTAAATAATTATGGGCAAATAAAAAGCTACGGTTCTAAGAATATTCCTAAGAAATACGGAAAGATTCCCGGAAGGAAGCAAGTTTGAGCGATTCTCGAAAAGGGATAACACTGGCTAAATTTAGACGCTTGTCGTTTGTAATTTCGGATCACGGTCGACTCATCCTATTTTGTCTGACAGCTGTTTCAGCCTTACCCCCGCGTTACAGCCGACGTCTAGGCCTACGTACTTCCGGTCCGGATGGGCCGACCGCCACACGCCACACGGAAGTTGTCGCACGCGCTCTTCC